ACAATTCTCTGAAAAAGAACCACGCAGCTATGCATCTTCTTGCGACACTGAACTGCAGGAATTAAACTCAGGAGCTCATGCACAGTGTCAATACCAGGTCAGTCTAGGAGACAAACTCAAGATACAGCTTTGCTAAGCGGCTGCTGACACCTGAGGTTAGTTAGTCCAGATGCTCATAAGGGAAACAAAGGCATAGAGAAGAGCAGGGTCTTGCTAGTCACAGCTCTGAAAACAGACAGACAAAGCAACTCTGATCTCTGAACTATTCCACAACCGGAATCACTAAACCACCTTCTTTTGAGTTATTTGCAATTTTGGGAGCTTGAAGAGCAACATCTATAAGGGATGAGGGCCTTTCAGTTTTTAAAAACCAGGAGCATTAATGCTGAGTTTTTATTTAATGTTTTCTGTAAATAGCTTAAAAGAAGAAAAAAATTATACATAATTTTATTAACTCACCAGCTGTCGCCTGTTCTTCTTCCATGTTTCTGCTTTTCTCTTTGAGTTCATATTCTGAAATGCTGATTTACAAAATAGTTATTAGATAATAAATGCATTTGTGAGAATTAGAAGAAAAGATTGATAACATTCTGTTTTCAAAGAATAACTATTTTGTATCTTTAGAATGCTTTAGTCTAGAAACAAATACTTGATTATAACTGGAGATGGGAAAATGAATAACTACTGTCCAATATGCAGCTGAAACTCATGTAAGTAGGACACATGATCAGCAATTCTAAATTAGAACTTGCTAAAAGTTTTACAGATTGATCTGAGATCAGCAGCGCTTATTGTTGCAGCTGGCAAGAAGTGAAGAATCCAAGAAGAGCTGCAGAGGAATTTTACATTTGTAGAATAAAGCACTAATGTGGATGTGTCACCAAGGCATGTTAATAAACAATCCTACTCTTATGAAAAGCTTCATGAGATTGTCACTGACTTCAGGAAGTCGGCACATGAAACCTGTGTCCCTTCTGAAAGGGTGTTTCTGTAACTTCACTAACATTGTTATGAAAAATACGTTAAAATATAGATACATTACATTATGTGTATTTGTATGTGTGTACAAATGTGCAAAAATACATTAACACTGTGGAAATAATAATTTCTTTTCTGTGAAATGCTTCCATGTCCTGGGGAACATGCATTTCCAGTTTTCCAACTAAATGCAATCAGCCTGACCAATCTTGCTTAACCCAGCAGAAATAAATTATGATGTGGCATAGCTGCAGCTCAAAACTATTTAAATGTTTAACTAGGACACCTTATACTTACAGAAGTCACTCGGTGGGTTGTGTGTGAGGTTCCTGTAGAACTCTGTTCTGTGAGCTTTCTTTAAACCTGTGCATAGCCCAAAATCAGACAGTTTTACATGACCCTAAAAAAATCAGAGAAGATAAAAACATGATTTAGAAAGATTGTGCTCGAAAAAGAATGTTTTAGTAACTGCGCTTGCCTTCTCAGGCCATCATGGACTCGCACAGGACTACCTAATCCAGGACAAGTAGGCAAATAATGACTGAATCTCGATGTACTGCAGGAGTGTGTTTTCTCTCAAAAGGGTTATTGCCCCCTGGGAATGGTTATATCTACAATTCTGCAACAGCTGAGGGCAGACAGTTTGCCTGGTTTTTGTTTTGAATTGGATACCACTGAGACTGAGAAAACCTCCAGGACAAAATTCTTTTGTTTTGATGGCAACTTGTTTTTAATCAGGTTTCCAGACATCAGTGCTAGATGGTCTACAGATTTGTGTATGATGCTTACTGGGTCCATTTCATGGCTCGCTATAGTCAGTCTAACAGACAGTGTTTCCACTGGTGAGTGGGTAATAAAACAAATGAGATAACTGCAGAAATTAATGCTAAATAATCAGTTCGTCTGAATGTTTCTTGCTTTCCTTTGTCTTGAAGTAACTAAGTGTATCAGTTTTTAATGTGTATGAATATGAGCGTCTGGACACCCTAAGTGGGACTTCTCACTTCAAAGGCTTTCCTTAAAAGCCTTAAAAGGGTTAAAAGGCATTCCAACAAAAAACAAGGGCAGTTTTGCTTTGTTTTAAATATACTGGTCTTCTACAATAAAAAGGTAACGACCACTTTCTGCCTTTACTCCAGCTAGTTTAAAAATCACCGGTGTGGCACTACTGGTTCCCACCGATTAGCACCACTATAAATGGCATTCTCTGCAGACTGAGATGTTTAAAGCATAGGCAGTTTACATGCACGTGACATGCCTTAGCATCCAGCAGAAGGTTATCTGGTTTAATATCTCTGTGGATGAATCCCAGCTGGTGAATAGCATCTATGGCCAGCACAGTTTCAGAAATGTAAAACTGCGTCTCCTCTTCTGATAAGGTGTCTTTCTTCATTAGTAAGGTCATCATGTCACCTAAGCAAAGAGCAGAAAATACAGCTTAGAAATCAGAACATTTTAATCACAAGACTAATTCTACGTGAAACCCCAGTAGAATCCAAATCTAACCTTGTAGCTGGCCTTACAGCTACTAATTATAAAACTATTCCTGCAAGGACCTACAAACCCAACATACTTTTTTAGTAAACTGGATGTAAAACTGTTGAAAACCCTAGATAGGAATTTTAATGGGATAGCCCAGGAAGATACAGTGAATTTTAGTGCCCAATACATGTATTGCATGTCTTTACTAGCTTTGCGTATTGCATGTATTTACTAGCTTCAGCAGTAAAAAGCAGAACGTTGGATCAGAATAATTATTTAATCCAAGTCTGTTTTAACACCCCTCCATAACCTTTCTCCTTCCCCTAAAGATCCAGAGTGGTTACATTACTGGGACTTCATTTAAAAAAAACATTAAAATTTTTTATTATAACAAATTACACAGCATGCTTGTTTTTAACATTTTGTGAAGCTGACAACAAAAGCCAAGGAAGAAGTACTTCTATCACCTAACACCACAACATACAGCTTACCTCCAGGTAAGAACTCCATGATCAGGTAAAGATTTCTTTTATCCTGAAAGCTGTAAAACATTTTCACTACCCAGGCTCCATCCGCTTCAACCAAAATATCTCTTTCTGCTCGGATATGGGCCACCTACAATTTTTTTACAAATACTATTATTAAAGTAAAATTTAAATATTTCAACAAGGAATCCCATATTAATAGTCCTAGTCCTACAATATATTTTCATGATCTTTAATGAAGAAACTATTTTTCATACTCATATTTTTCATAGTTTTTTACTAGATCCTACAAAGTCCTCAAAAAATACCCAGCAGAAACCCACAAAAGTCAACTCAATGTTGAAAATAACTGTTCACACAACTCTGCAGAAGTAGTCTCTAGAAACACAAAACATAGCTTGTTAAGCTGTTTCTGTTTGTTTGGAAAGAACTGAAAAAGCTGGTGGAAAAGTGCAATTCCCTTTTTTACTGTGCCCTAAAATGAAATAGGTGCATTCGAAAAAATTAGAGAGCTAACCATCACAGAGCTTTATACGGTACTGCAAGCTCAGACAAAAATATAACGTGCAAGTCAAGATGCAAATACTGACAAAATTATTGGAAAAGGCCAGAGTGGGTCTTAAAGAATGCAAGAACCAAGAGGTAAAATGGTAGATGCATTATGATTACTGTCAGAAGTTACCAGATTTCTCATGTACGTATACAAAGAAACAAAAAACTAATAGCTACCTCTACACAGATATCTCACAGTTTAAACTTGGCAAGATAAGCCTGGGGAATCTTCTCTAGCAAGGGTGACAGAGTGCCTAAACTGATTACTTCCTGCAAAACCTGATTCCTTCATCGCTGTGAGAAGAGAGAAATGCCTGATTTACATTATGGTGAACTACTGCCTAGTTCCCAAACCCACACTGTACACGCTGCTGATGGTGCGTGAACCCCTTCCAGATGGTACACGGAGACTGGTCCTGCGTGTGTACACGGCAAACCTTACTTGAACTGCACGGCAAGTGCATTGGCCAAGTGGGAACAGGGCTGCGATGAGTTTCAGCCCTTACGGATGACGGCAGGTAGCAGTGAGCGCAGTGGCTAGTATTAAAGCAGTGCAAAAATGGTAAGGGTCTTGGGCTATTTAAGGGGGGAGAAAAGGGAAGAGAAGATGGAGCCATTCCTCCAAGCGATGTGCATGAAGCTGGCCCGGAACTGATACGACCACCACTGCCGCTGACGTTGGTCCTCAGCAAGTGAGTTTGGGAACATCTGACCTTGCTCAGGATATTCCAGTCCCAGCTGAGGCTTTGAAAAAATATACAGAGAGCTGCTACCCCATGAATTCACTGGAAACTAAGAGTAATGGAGATTGGCAGAGAAGCGTGTGTTTCACTAGAATGTACACTCCTCCTGAAGGAAAATGAAAGACACATGCATGGAAAAGTATTTCTTGATAGTAGTAAGATTTTCATTATTCATACACCAGAAAGCAACTTCTGGAGAGAAGATATGTACCACTATTCCAGCTTCGAGGGCTATTTCCAATAAGCAGCAAACAGTCTTCTGCGTCTCTTCCCCAATTCTACTGGCCAGGAGCATCTTTACATCTGTGTGTTCTTTTCACAGGGTTTCACAGAGCAATGGGTTCTCTTGCTGCAGTAGGCACTCCAACTTTGGTTTATCTAGCTCTATCTATTCTCGTTAGAAAATATTTCTTTCCATCCTCCACTCCTCAATGAAGCTATAAAATATAATGTTAAAACCTTGCTTAAAAAACAGCCAGGATATCTCCCAGTGTTATCAGGCTTGGGAAAAAAAAAAAATCTTAATTTTCTTGTATTTGTGTCCTGTGTTGCTTTCCATTGAACAAACCAAGCAATGAAAATTACAGCAGATAAACACTCTGCAGGGAAGATTTCAGTCCCAAACTAAATGGAGGGTGTGAGCTCAGCCTCCTTGCCACATCAGGTTATGAAATGGGGACAGGGCTTCAACCGGAGGGCCACACACATCCTGGCTGCTGTGCAGAACACGCTGCTCTTCTGGTTGCCTGTATTCAGGGCATGGGCTTGAGGAAACAAAACGTCTGTGCCAGGGGAAAAAAAAAAAAAAAAAAAAAAAGAAGTACAAGTACCACTGCAGGGAAATGTAATACAAGAGCAAATGATGGGTAAGGTTTGGACAGGTAAGGAAAGCCCTCTTTTATCTGTCCTTTCGCTTGAGACATCCACACTTGATTTCTTTGCTTTGTGGTGCTAAAGTACTTGCTGTGTCCTACCAGGAATTTGCAGTGAATTGTTAACTAAAAAGTAAAAGCAAAAACCAACAAAAACAAAGCAAAACAAAACAAGACCCAACTAAAAAGCAAAACAAAGGAAAACAAAGCCAACGAACAATGTGACATCTGTTGGTATCTAACCATCAAAACAAAACATCGAGTACTCTCAGTTTTTACTTCGGCACAGTATTACTTTTCAAGAAGCATTTTCCTTGAAATGCAGTTTTACAGGTTAAGTACTATAAGGTCTGCGTTGATAAAGGAAGCTGGGGGGGAATCTCTGTCACTATTCCAAATTGGTTGTGAATACAACATTTTTCAAAATGCTGTTGCATGACCTTATTCCCCAACTTCTACTTATTCTTTTGTACTGTGGTAGCAACTCCATAGAAGCTTTGGACTGCTATACCATTATTGGGGCTTTCGAAGTGGAAAATATGACCAAATAGTATCTGCCACAAAGAACTTCGGCAATTTTCTAGACAGCATAACTTTGAAATCTAGGGGACTTATACAACACAAACCTGCTCTTTCTCCAGCATATCTGCTTTTCTTAATATCTTCATTGCATAAATATGACCAGTATCCTTCTTCTGAACGAGGCGTACCTATAATGAGAAATATAACCCAATCAATCTTCTCTACCTCAGAAACTAGACCCCAGTGTGGAATCTACTGGAAGGCTCAAAATTGCTGGGCACGGAAAAGTTATTTTGTTAAGCATTTAAAAACACACGGAACAAAGAAATATTTCTACACCATGTACAACACTAACGCTGGTGATGAACAGACAGTTTGAAGTAGTTATTGTTTTAGGAAACGTTAGCAGGCACACTAAATTCCAGGTAGCTGTGAGATTGTGTACGCTACAATTCAGGAGCAGATACAACCGTGATGTGACACAAGGCAGGGAAAATGTTTACGGAGGGGAGCTGTGCAACTGCAAATCCATCATGTCAGGGGCCACATGGGCAACATCAGTTTGGGCTAATAGGAAGCTGTGGGAAACTAAGGGCCTTTCCAGGGGCCTTGAGGAATTGGTGCATGTAATTCATTACTGGACTTATCACACTTAAAGTTACTCAAATAGCTATTCTTCCACAATAAAACTCCCCAACTGGAACTTTTTATTCTGTAATTAAAATGTTTCATTTTAATGTTCAATCCAATCTTAATATCCTGTTCAAGCAAGAATGCCACAAACCTCCCCAAATGCTCCTCTTCCTATAACTTTCAAAGATTCAAAGTCATCCAAGCCAAGTCTAGTCCTCTTCAGTCGCAGAAACTCTGTTTCTTTGCGAGCGTGTTGTGACCTGCGCAGTTTTTTCTAAGGAGACACATACACAGAAATTTATAAGTCATTTGATAGTAGAAAGTCAAGATATACAATCTCCCTTCCTGTGAAGTATTCTCCCTCCCATTAGGATTACAGAGAATAGGTAAAAGAAGTTGTCTTTCTGAATTTCTCAAAGTATGATCCACGAGCAAGGTCTTTTCTATAGAGCCCTCAGGCCCAGTTTCACTTTTTTTGGGGTGTGGGTGTGTGTTTTGGTTTTTCTACTACCTAGACATAAAGAAACAGTAATAAAAATTAATAGGGAAAAAAAAAGTCATACTTGTTCAAACAAAGTACATCAGTCCAAAGGCCAAAGTCACCATCTGAGGCAAGGACTCTTGTTTTTGGGCAGCGTGAAAGATCAATAAAAGCTGAAACTTGCACCCCACCAAAAAGAGTGATGACAGGCAACAAGCAGCCTAACAGGCAGCAGAGATCCAACTTAACGCTATCTATAGCAAAATGCATTTGGTTTAGGGCAGGCAAACACTCGTATTTGAAAGAAAAATCTGTCCAAACCCTGTCATGTATTTTGTTCTATAAAAATGTCAATGGGATTCACCCTGAGAGAAGACAAATGCCGACCTGTGCTCCCAAAGATGCTGAGAAGATCTCAGAGACTGCTAGAGAGACCCATCGATCAGGCACCTGCCAGATTCTGCACTAGGATGACAGTGTCATTTAAAACCACAAGATGGCATTACGCACCCACACTCGCTTTTCCCTCTTCCCAGAACTTACGGCAGCTACACGAACTCAGAAATGACTGAGGCACTGTTCCTGCTTATTTCCCTGCCCATCCTGAAGGCAGTACAGGCAGCCATGGTGTGATGAACCTCAGAAAAGCAACTTATTGACCAAAGTTCTGAGAGATGCCAAATGGACAGAGATCCCTCCTCATCTGTATCCTAACGGAGCAAGGGTGTGCCCAGTTTATTGTTTAAATCAAGAAAAAATGGTTCAGCATTTTTGCTTCCTACCTACTTCTTCCAAGCGCATCTCACCTTTTTTTCATGCCAAACATAATGGCAAACCATTTTAATCTTTGAAAAGCATGCTATATACTTGCTGCGGCCATACGTCTCATGACTAAGGGTGGCAGGAAAAGCCTTAGCTACTGCAAGTATCATTTAAGCATATTCACAGCTTCCCTAATAAACAAGTTATTTACAGGGGCAACATTCATTACAAAATAAAACTTAATGTCATGCTAGCTAATGTTTCTGTAAGCTCCTCAAATGCCAATTTGAAGTAGTGCAACAAAAGCAAAGCAGTCTCTTCAAAGGTTACTTAAGTAGTATTTACCTCCTCGTCTGCGAGGCCTTCCTCTTCCATAGCCACTTCCAGCTTCTTCTGCCTGCGAAGGGGAGAAACAGGAGATTGCTTTTTTTGTTATTTATGTACAACAAACATAACACTACAGCAAGACAGCGCCTTTACTTCACATATTCCAGATACCAAAGAATTTGCCTCAAATGGAAATTTCAAGACTTACTGCCCACTCCATCCATTTACTCATCTGTGACCAAAGCTGTTGAAAATGTATAAGCAAATTTAAGCACATAATTATGTATTTGCAGAATTAGGCATTAAAGGCCCAAACATATAATCACTCTAATGACTTATATTTCTTCATATGATCTTGTTGAAGTAAGGCTGTTTTTATCAATTAGGATTACGAATCAGAATAAACATGTTTTTTTCCACCATTTCTATCTCAGCTCTACCTCCAACACTTCAGCTAGCTCCAGCTTTCACCCCCAGTTTCAGCCTTGCTGACCTCTCCCTGGTCACACACCTGGTCCTGCTCCCCTATACCCTCGTGCCAACTAACTCCACCCTCCTGAATTCGCCATCATCTCTCCTCCCAGTGTCCTGCCTGGGCCAGGGCTCACTGGTCCTGGGGATCATCCAGCTGGTGCCATGCCAGGCTGGGAGGGTCTGAGCCGGGAGCGAAGCCTGGGAGTACCCCACAGATGGCAGGGGGTCAGCACGTGGCAACGTGTCTGCTGGACCCCTCTTTTTCCACCTGCGGGATGCTTCTTTACGACTGTCAGGGCGCAGCTTTCAGAAAGCTGGTTACCCACTAGCAGCGGCCGAGAGTTCAAAGGCCGGGCGCCAGGCTGCTGGTGTCTTTCTGCACTTCGGTAAGTACAGCAGGATCCCCTAAATTAAAGGCCCTCAGCAGACAGTCTATTCTCCTAACTATAAGCAACTCAATTACATGGGATAATGACTAAGTATGATGAAGAGAAAAACCCTGCTGCTTGGCTGAAAACCCCTCAATTAAAAACATATTACCAGGGGAATGATAATTTCACATGCTTATGACAATTTGAAACACAACATTCATTATAATCAAATGCTCGGTGCTTTGACACTTAATTCAAGTAGCACTTCACCACATTGGAGGCAGAATTGGGCACCAGTGAGAGAAGTTAAAGTGGACGGGACCAACGCATACTCCCACGCGAGGAGTACCAGTCAACACCATCCAAGAAGAATTTAGAGGTGGGTATTACATTATCCCCAAAGTTCTTTCTGCCCACCCAAGAGCCTCTCAAACCCTCCACTACCCTATGCCTTTACTGCCCCTTATCTCCACCCCAGGCCACCTCCAGCTTTCTGCCTCCTTTCCTTACACCATTACCCTGTCAAACACCTCTCCTATCGGGTCCTGTTCCCCACCTCCTATACGCTCCCTTCTGCAGGGTTTATGAGTCTTGGCATGAGCTCCACGCTGCAGAGCATGAATAGACACCACGAACCACTGCCTTACACAAAACCAAGTTACCACCCATCAGCAGCTCTGCAGCATCTACCTCTGTAGAGCTGATTCCCTGTGGCACGCGTGGAGGAATCCGGAGGTCATCAACCCCAAACGCAGAAGTAGAAACCTCACACGTGCTGCAAAATAAGACCCTGCACAGAGCAGTTTCCGCAAAGTAGTAATAATCTGATGAGGAGGTAAATTGTACGAGAATGCCAAAAGTGGAGGTCCTCAGTCACTCAGTGAGTGCTTGGTGCAGTAGCAGGGATGTTCACAGGAACTACCAGCACAGCCAGCAGCTGAAAGGTAGCCTGTGCCCTTCAGGGATTAGCTCCTTGCTACCAAGTACAGAAAAACTTCTGAGAACTGCTCCGTGCATGGGGATCAAAGTACCCTTGAACAAACACCGCCAAAAGCCAACCGAGAATAGCTGAAGAGGAGTGAGAGGAAGCACTGCCAGTACCTGGTTTCTCTCTCTTCGTGCTGTATAATTAGGTTGCTGTAGAAGTTCTCCAGCGTAAGTTTGGCCACTGTCACTCTCTCCCGGGTGTGGTTACTCATGGGAAAGGATGTTGTAGTCCCTGCAGTCATCGCCATGGTAACATGTACTGAAACAGAGAATGTCAAATCATTACTCACTTGAAAAAAAAAGAAAATAAAAAAAATAAGATTTTCCTCTTTCCCACTCTCCATCTCCAAATTCTTAGACGCTATAGAATTCACAGGGAAAGCACTGTTCTTTAGATGTAAGAAACTCCATTAAAAAACTGTATTATAAAATTATCCCAAGATAGCAGGAGGACTTACTACCCACTCTCTAAAAAAATAACAAGATGTTGGCAAAACAAAGGGTGAATCACAGCAAAGAATTATGCAGGCTACGGGCAGCTCACCCAGCAGCACTTGTCCACAAATGAGGAAAATGTACCTCCGGCGGACTTGAGCCCAGGCTGGGGGAGGGAAGAGGTGGCGGAGCATGGAAAGGAAAAGGGGGAAGCGAGAGGATGACCAGGCAGCTCCCACAGCTGGACATGTCACAACTCTATGACAATTTCAGACTCCAGAAATGCTAGGTGCTACCAAAAGGACAGGAAAGTGGACAAAACCCCTAATCCCATCCAGAGGAGAAGCTGTTTCAAGGATAGAACATAGCCATTAAATATCTTCGAATTCTAAAGCCGCTCAACAAAATTACATGTGGACAGTTGGGGGGATTTCTAGAAATCATTGCATGAAAATGAAATAATGGAATTGCCATATTTTAAATGGAAAACTTCTGTTGCTGGTTTTTTGTTTGTTTGGATTTTTAAAGCAACAACCAACCACCAAGAATAGAAAACCCTTCCCCACCACAAGGCCATCAGGCAACCAGTCTTTCTGTTTGTTTCCTTTCCGACCACCTCTGTGCCACGCCACCGATGAAACGAGCATTTTCTGGAGCGGCTGTTTGTTAGAGCCCCCTGTGTTTGGATTCTCAAATTCAGGGGGGAATCTTCTTACGCAGCTGTAAATACGTTACCCATGTAGACAAAGTACTTATAGGTCAGGGCACGTGGTTACCGAGCACTTAAAAACTGGGAAGAAAGAAGAAAGGCTGCTCTCTTTCATAGCTTTCATCTTAAACCCAAAGAACTTGGGCTAGAACAACACTTTTAACACTGGCAAAAGACATCTTAGGGCAGTCCGGCATCCCTTGCAGCTAGTCTAGGGAACCCAGGGGAGATTTAAAAAAAAAAAAAAAAAAAAAAAAAAAAAAAGCAGTTTGTCCTAGGACTCATGCCCTACCTGGAAGTGGGTTGAGGCACTTTAGGAGAGCCTCACGGAGTGGAGCCGCAAATAGCAGCATCTCAGCCACACACACATTTGTTCAGGTTGTTTTGGGGTTGGTTTTGGAAAATTACACAGAAGTACATACACTTCCTTTTGATTATTTACATAATCCTTCTATTTCACCAGGGGATTTTGAGGAAGACAAATCCCAAATTAGGTTTATGATCTTCAAGCAGATCCTAATACCTTTTAAGGTGAACCGATTAAAAGTTTCATACAGAAGAAAACTTGCACATCCACATCAGACAGGAAGATTGCTTAATTCTGCTCTGGGTTTTTTGTTTTGGATTTGCCTGCTATCCTCTGTGAAGACAGCATTTCATCTTGTGGATTTTTAATTGGATTTGGTGCCACAATAAGATATTTGTTGCCAGAAATGCAGCTGCTGTGTCACAAATAAAGGCGTTTTATAGCATTATGTAGATATTATTTTAGCTGTGTATTTTGGAGTGTGCAAGACGCCGGAGTTCTGAGAATAAAAATGTATCTCTCTATACATATACAATGAGGTTTTATTAGCACTACAGCTGCTTTATGATGATGTCAATATTTCTATTTTTTAATCAATCTTTTATCCCCTTCAATTTTCTACTAAAGAAAGATGAGAGCTGACAACTGTTAATAATCTCTACTAAAAATTAAGGGGTTTATTCTTCACACAAACATGTACCCCATACCGGACACTTCTTGAAAAGCTGGAGAACTTGGCTCTCCTCTCCGTATTGAGTCTGTTATAGAATATTACACTCTCTTTCTCCCTTGATAGGTGGGAAAAGATAAATATAGAACAGGTGTCTGAGAGCAAAACCTACAGCACATTGACACACCCAAATCAAACAGAGCAACTGTTGACCACATGCTGGCATCTGTGATTAAGTTATTTCAAGAAATGACCTAATAGAGTAAAAATCCGCCTTCCGATCATTTTGGCGTGTCAGGATAGCATAGCATTAACCCAGGCTTGAAATGGATTAACCTTTACTTAAGGTATAACGAGCGCACTCTAGCACTGGCAAGCAACAGGATATTTATCCTTTGCACGTCTTGTATTCCTGGTAGGATAAAACAACACTGCAGTTTTGTTTCCTGTTAATTCGTTTTCCCCATGCTCCTATACTCACAAATGCAGACGTTACCAAATAGCAAATCGAAGTCACTTGATTTTATTAAGCCTGTGAAAAGGAGATAACAACTCTGGCACTAGCACACCACGCTATAAATAGGGAGGCTGACCCTCACACTGTGGTTCTACGGTAGGAAAGTATAGATGAGAACCTGGCCCGCAAGCTAGCAAACTCAGAGAAGGCTATTTAACAGAGAAGAAACTTCACCGTCATACTATGGCGTGAGCCCACCAAAGCAGGAGATACACATCACCAGAAGCATTTGCTTCCAACATCCCACGTACCCTGCGCACACCTCACCAGCCCTGCCTGCAGACCACGCTGTACCACAGCATAGCATTTCCTTGAGACAGAGTTTACTTTACATTCGCTCAGTTTGCAATCGGTGGCCCCAGGTGGTCCCAGTTAGCTCTGTCACTGTGAAAAAAAATAATCAACTTTGTAAAACCAAGAAGTGCCCTGAGGTCCCCAGGTCCCCCAAAGTAAGTGGAAAAGAGCACAGACCTGGCAGGAGACACAAGGTACCCCACAAAATCCTACGTCAACTCACATCCGAGAAAACCTCCTCATCCTTTTTCCTCCCGCCTCTCTGCTTCCACTAACAAACCCCCAAACAAGGCACAAATCCACATCCCAGATAAAATATTCAGCTGGGAGTAACCAAGTAAAATCCTTAAGTATGACCTTTATAAACAAATGATGCTGGAGGCGATGGGGGTGGGAAGGAAGATGCTTCAAAATGGGGCCTTTTATTGACAGCACACTACTTCTACTGACCTCAGCACATTAACGGGAACATTTTGAAAAGGTGCCACCAATAGTTCTTGGAAATGCCCTCAAAAAACTACTAATTCACCCGAATTCATGCCATTTGCATAATGGAACCATTCTACTCCTGCTGCATCACCGGCCTTGCATTAGGCTCCCTGGACCACGAAGGAGGTCATATTAACCAGCCAGATGCATTAGGCCAAAACTCCCCTGGCCGACGAGGACAGAAGACCTTTCTTTCCGAAGAGTCTGTTACTTCGGAAAAAATGATACACCACTGGCTGTGAATGAGAGAGACATCAAACCGACCTAATCGACAGGAGACACTGAGCAGTGCGCAGCCCGCAGGACAACCTCTCGGAGCTGCCAGAAGCAGAGACGCCATATGTGCTGCTTGGCCCAGAAATCGAGCCTGTGCCTCCTGGACGGATGGCTGAACTCGGAGCGCGAGCCTTTCTCCTGATGCCTGCTCTGCTCTGCTCAGCAGCAAGCGCCGATGGTGTGGTCACAGGAGAGAGAGGGATGAGGAACTACAGGTGTGGACTGACCAGGGGACATCTTGCCCCAAGAGGAAGGTGGGACAGCAGCATAGCAGGGAGGAGATGAAGGATGTTCCTGAAGGACAAGGGAGAGCCGGGTACAGCAGCAGGAAGGGGACAGCAGGCCCAATGCTAACAAGCTGGAGTTTTCAAGAGTCTCCGTTGAGCAAGTCTGTTCTGACCAACCATCTCCTTTCTGGTAGAAAAATGCTGCCTGGTCCAAGCATATGTTTGATCTTTTTATTCCCAGATCTTTCCTGATTGGGAAGCAGAGAAAAGCCAAGCAGTGTTTACAGCTTCAGTCTGTGCTCCCATCTATCACAACAGCTTGAAGTCAAACCCTTGACCAATTTTCCTGAAAGCATTTCCACTGTTGAAAACCCCACACTCAGCTTCTGCTACACAACTGGTAACTCAAAACCCACGTCCTCTCCAGGGTGCTTCTTAGCAGCTCCCACAGTCCATCATTAACGTTTTCATATTAGACTATTGGATTCAGGCTCTGGTTAATCAGAGCAAAATCACTGAGGCATCCAATCCCACCTGCTACGGCTACTCAGAAGAGGAGAGATGGAAGAAATCAAGGCACCTAGAGAACTGTTCTCCCCTGAAAGAAACAGTTGGCACCTTGCGGGATCATTTTCCAATCAGGAAGAGATGAGAACACAAAATGGAAGCCTCTTGCACATTGTCTCCAGCCTCCACAGCTCCGTCTCAGGACATCCAGGATGCGTGAAGAGAGCGAGCACAGAGCTGTTGCTTGGCAGGAAGAAAGGATGGAGATATGACACTCTCGGCAATTTTAGAGCCTATTTCTACATATCTAGGTAGCTCTAGACTTTAAAGAGAAAAGGATAACGAGGGATGAAACAGGATGCCGACACAGATGTGCTACAAGATCTCAAATTCACTTTATTACTCCATGGCATACTTTCCACCCTGTAAAATGGAGTGACAGGACAGGGATGTGGAGTAGAGCGCATAATCATAACACTTCACATCACCAAACATTTGAACTGTAGTGATGGTGAAGATTCAAATACTTCAATAGGAAAAAGAAAAAAAAAAACCAAACAACAAAACACACCAAAAAACACCTCCCTCCCCCCAAGTGGATATACTCATCATTTCAGATCCTTCCAACATATTCTTCCAACCTTTCACGTTTACTTTTTTCATGATTTCTCACTTCAGTGAGAATATAAATACATGAGAGTATGCTACAAGCAGAGAAAACTGAAACCAATCTTTCCAGCTAATCTTCCTTATTAGAGGGTTTCACATTTCTCAGGATACTACAGTAACCTATTTGATCAATTCTTGCTTTCTCTTACACAGA